TCATCTGGGCTCATGAAAAAACACATGTTTGAGAAAAGAAAAAGCGATTTATTTTCAATGAAGCTACGACACGTTTATACAAAAAAAATCAATGAACATTTGAATAAAGTCCGTTATCAGACTGAAAATCTCTCTAATAAAGCAAAAAAAAAAAAAAAAAAGTCCGTTATCAGCTGTTTGACGTAGCTTTGTCACAATGTTACAATTATTGGCCTTCCAATCGTTTTTATATACCAACGAACTCATATTTCCAAAAAAAAAATCTTCAATTGGGCGACACTGAGGCAAGATTGTTGGATTGCGGTTTTTGATACATACGGGATATTTTGATTTTACAAGAAGGTTAGTGTTTTCTAAGCATAATGCGATGATGATTTATCCAGCCAAAACACGCAGTTTCCGTCTGCGTGATATTTTTGAAGAATTGAAATCAAAATTTTCTTCAAACATTGATTTTGGTACAGTTCTAGGTTGATAACCAAACCGCTAGGCTTGAACCCTGGCTTAGAAATTCATCTCTCCGATATGGCGATATACAGCTACACTTTCAGTTCAAACTTATGTTTGAACTTGAATCTTACATCTGAATCATATCGATCATTTCCAGGAATGTGAGATTTTGAGAGAGGAAAGTAATTTTCATCATCCAAAACGAGACATTTTCCAGAGTAATTTCTTTGGTTTTTCACGTTCGAAATACCCAAGTAACTAACAAGCCCGCTAATCGCCCTTTTTGCTATATAATGCTGATGTACGGCTCATACAGAGTTTTGAAGCCCTATAACAACTTTATATTGCAAAAAGGGCGATTAGAGTGGTTACTTGGGTATGTTGATCGGCGTATTCTGGAGCTCTTGATTTCTTTCGACGACAAACTATTCCTAGAGTCGGTGTATAATGAGTCACGCCAAGAGAAAAACAGTGGAACTCGCATCACGGTTTTTGAAAGATTCCCTTCCCTTTCACTTGGCAACAGAGGACTTGTGCATTAACTTCAAATGACTTCTAGCGAGAAATTAAATTACCGGCTGCAGTAAATTATTATATTAGTGATTTTGTCGGATTAAATCAGCAACGTATATTACAAATTCTCATTACTGATCATTACCATACGAATCTAATTACAATTTAAATTCTCACTGCGTGTTTATGGTCATTTCTTCGATTAAATTTTATATTTTATTTCAATACCTTTCGTGTAGCTTTCATAGCATCGTAATGTTTATTTATTTTGCACGATAGGTAGCCAGTTTGACAGTTCAATAGGTAGACTTGGCTTCACTCTTGGCGTGACTCATTATACACCGACTCTAACTATTCCTAGCCTTTCAACGTTTTACAGATATGAGGTTGCGAGCACTTGAACTTTTTCGCAGCGTCCCACTAACTTATCGAATCTTTGTTGTTGAGCGAATTGTGTAGCGATCGAAGTCCTTTTTGTTCATTATTTTGGCTGGTTTTCCACTACCCCTCTTCTGAACTGTTGTCTAGGATGCCAGAATACCACCGACAAACCGACATGAAACTTAAACTTAACTCTTGATCGAGAATCCATAACGGCCGATTCAAATGAGCAGCGATTCCATCTGTCAAAACCATAGAAATGTCTTATCTAGATAAAAATAATTTGTCGGAAATAGATTAGACACGAAACAACTCATATTTTGTATGCGTGTTCGTGGCTAGGATAAATATTTTCCGCGAACACAACGGTAGATGTCAGTTTTGTGCTTTGATCAGAAATTTCTTGTAATTTGTATGATCTTCCATGTCAGTTCGTCGGTGAGAATACGGTAAACAGTAGAAATTGGTACATTCTCTGATTTGAAATGATCCACCGTTAACTTTTTCGCACGATTTTCGTGTGTTTTGAAGAACTGTACAATGCGCTCACGAAATGCTTCTTACCATTTTCAACACATTTTTGATTTGATATTTGATTTTCATAAGCTATCTCTTTTTTGTGGACATTTGTGGTTTGGTACGAGGTTTGGTATGAGAGAGTTGAAGCTATTTTCATTTTTAATTATCTCCCGTTAGATTTGGATTGCCTCTCAGGAAAGTAAAAAATCGACCATCGTTTTTCGATAATTCAACATCCAAAAACTCAAGCTCTTTCACCATATTTTTTAATCCATTACAAAGATTCTCGCCCGATCCAATCCAGAATCATTTTATCAATTACCGCGTAACATTTTACGAGGGCCTATATCCAAAATGTAAACAAATTGTTTTTGATACCATTATATAGCACCGCTAAGAAGCTACCAATCGTATAGGAATATTCCAAATCATCGATAAAAATTATTCAAAATAGCTTGAATTTCAAAACGGCTGATCAACGAGTCATTCATACGGCCTTTCATATTTTGTTTCGATTCATTAGGTTCCATTGATAAGTCTAGTGACGTAGAAGGGCCGATGATTGAAATTTGTCTAATCCAAGCTAGGCCCTACTGCTTGAGGCAGGGCCGAGGATTTGTTTTGCATTTATTTGACGTTATGAAAAGGCTTAGCAAAGGGCCTACCATTTCTGATGACAAGCACGACAGCTTAACAAAAAGGGCCTAACCATTGAATGATTCGCATAAAGGCTAATTAATTTATTAACTTAAATTGTTATCGATACTCATGCACTTTTGAATTTTTTTTTTTCGCATAATTGGGTTCTTTAATTTTGAAAAATATATCGGTTTTTATATATCATCTGAAGGAGCTTCGTTTTCTGAGCACAGCGATATTTTTTTTGAACCCACACACTTTCATCTCGATTTTTAAATCAAGATTTAAAAGAAAATAATAACTTCACTGTCTGACACTAAACAAACATACTGACAGCTCGCTCCCATACAAAGTGACACCGAGGGGCGCTAATAAGGTGATTTTTGCAAATGTAATCGTTTTTATTTAAAATAGTTCCAGTGTACCAAAATTGATGAAATTTTGGGTTTGGGTTCCATTTCTAATGCAGATTACGAATATGCATTTACCTCAATACCCTTAAAGAACCCAATTTATATGTTGTGTAGTGAGATACAGTTACTATTGTTATCCTGATCAAAATAAATGTGTAAAATACATTAAATTTCTTATTTATTTATTTAAATAGTGGCGAAAAAAATTTACAAATAATTTTCTAGTTTGTTTACATTTTGACCATAGTCCCATTTCAAATGTTATACATCATCTGATAAAGCTTCATTTTCTTAGCACAACGATATTTTTATCGATCCCGTATACATTCAACTCGATTTTAAACCAAGATTAAAATTGTTAATCGTTGAAACTAAATCTATTCGTTGACAGCTCGCTCCCATACAAAGTACCACCAAGGGGCGCTAAAATGGTGATTTTGCTAATGTATAATCGTACTTATTTAAAATAGTTCCAGTGTACCAAAATTGATAAAATTTTGGATTTTGGTTCCATTTTTAATGTAGATAACGAATATGTATTTAACTCAACACCCCTAAACAACCCAATTGAAATCCCCACACGGAAAGAAAAACAAGTACTTAATTTTGAGTTCTTTTCACCCAGGTTGGCAGTTCCGTGCGCCAACTCAATTTAGAGTTCTAGAGCCTACTGAATTTTGAGTTGTTGTCATTCACTCGCATGTAAACAGGATTACTTACTTTTAAGTAGTTTTCACTCAACGTCAAGTTCAAACTTCTCAAAATTGAGTTTTACACAACTTACTCAATTTTAACTTGGCGCACGGAGCTGTCGAGTTGGGTGAATAGAACTTAATTTGGGGTTGTTTTGCTCTTTTCGTTTTTGACAACAACAAGACAGCAAGAGGCATCAGCTCAAAAGTAAGTTTAAAGAACTCAACCGTTGGGTAGTTTTGGTTCTCCGTGCAAGAATTACGGTCTCCTTGAACTCTCCTACATGTATCAAAATGTCATCAATGAACAGAAGATTCCTCTCTTTTTGTACTTTGAACCTGAGTGCGCATAAACATCAACAAATTCAACTTCATCAATTACAAGTGATGTGATAACGCCATTAGTATTCATTATAACATTTGATAAACTATTACGTATGAGTACTCCGGTACGTTTTCCATCATTGCTGATGTTCACTATTGCTGTGTGTAGAAAGGAAAGATAAACTTTCAAAAGCGACTTCTTGCATGAAAACAATATCAAGATCTTTGTTCCACACAAACTCTTTTAGAAAATGTTGTTTAACATGACACCTCATAGCGTTCAAATATATAGTAACTATTTTCCGAATATATGACATACATACTCAAACGTAGCAACTATTATGTAAATATACTTGTTTGAATATAAATTTTAAAGCTGATTGGAAAGTATGCACACATTTGGGTTATCTGAGATCAATAGCCTTCAAAATACAGTTTAAGAGTATTTAACTACTATGGTCCTCAAACTAAAATCAGCTCAAGCAAGGTAATTAACCATAAAAGGCCATGTACCTGGATACAAGACATTATGAAGAATTTCCCGAAAAAAGCTGTAATCACCTTTTTTCCAGAATGAAAGAATGAACAATTTGCCAGTTACTCAACCGCCGAAAGTTCCAACTTGTGTAGCACACAAACCTCATCATCTGATTATCATCATTTACGTCTATTCTATACCCGTATCTATCGATCCCGACATCTACCGATAATTAGGTACAATGTAACCATAATCCAATCAACATCACCACCTTTGCAAAGTCAGCAAACGCGTATCTGCGACTAAGCTTTCGCCTACCAGGCCCACATCACCAATCTCTGCGAAGTGTGCAAAGGTAACAACACGCGAAACATCAACCAATCACCCCAACGACACACCATAACCGGTGACGCTGTTTAGCTACATGTTCCTTCTTCTATTCCGCAATGTGTCTACGGTGTCGCCAAACCCCAAAACGAACTCGATTCCATCATCCATCGACGTCACCGGCTTAGATAACAATTTAATCCGGCCGGGAATGTCAACCACTAATTCCGTCTGACTCCTACGTGCTTAATATTTTCGTTGCAGGTGCCTTCCTCATTCCGTTCATGATTATGTTGATCCTGGAGGGTATTCCCCTGTTCCTGATCGAGCTCGGAATGGGCCAACGGATGCGGCTCGGTGCCCTCGGGGTGTGGAACACGATACACCCCTGGCTCGGCGGTATCGGCATCTCGTCCTGCATTGTGACGCTATTTGTGGCGATCTACTACAATGTGATTATCACTTGGTGCTTCTACTACTTCTTCAATAGCTTTCAGGTAGGTGTTTATGGTGTGTTTGTGGTGAGTAATTACGAGAGCGGAAGATAAATTCAATTAGTACAATGCTTGTGCGCCTTTAGTTAGACTACAGTGGAGCACTGTGAGCTGCCAAGCGGTAGATAAGCAGGCGTGGAATTAGATACGATGATTGATTGCCTTTTTCATGGCGGTTCCATAGTGTAGCGGTTATCACGTCTGCTTTACACGCAGAAGGTCTCCAGTTCGATCCTGGATGGAACCAAATTACTTTTTATTAAACATAAAAATACCTTTATTGAACATTTGTATCTATTCTTGACAGGTCACTCTGCCGTGGGCTACCTGTCCGCAGTTCAACGGTACCGATTTGCCCGAATGTGAACGGTCCTCGGAGACCGCCTACTTTTGGTACCGAACAACGCTGGACGCATCGCCCAGCATCGAGCAACCGGAAGGATTCAAGTGGTGGATCGTGCTGTGTCTGCTGCTGTCGTGGACGGTAGTGTTCTTCATCGTGATGAAGGGCATCCAGAGCTCGGGCAAGGTCGTCTACTTTACCTCGCTCTTCCCGTACATCGTGCTGACGATCTTCTTCATCCGAGGTATCACGCTCAAGGGAGCCGGCGCCGGTCTAATGCACATGTACACTCCCAAAGTGGAAAAACTGCTGGAACCGACCGTATGGTTGGACGCGGCCACCCAGGTGTTCTATTCGTTTGGGTTGGCCTTTGGATCGCTGATTGCATTCGGCAGCTATAATACACCGAAAAACAATTGCGTCCGGGACGTGATTCTGGTGTCGGTGTGCAATGCCGTTACCGCAATCTACGCCAGCGTGGTGATATTCGCCATTCTTGGCTACAAGGCAACGGTCGGCGTCGATCGGTGTATTGCAGTGTAAGTTTATTTTTTTTTATTAAATCGGTAAGAGTTGTTCCCTAATTATTGAATACTATTTTCGCATCATACTCATACCAGAAACAAAGGAATTCTGTTCAAGCATAATATAATTGACTCGATACATGTGGAAAACGATATTTACGAGGCGAAAATGAACAGCTTAGACGAAGCCACCAAGGCGAATTGGACCTTTGAGCACTGCAGTCTGGAGGAACAGTTGGATAGCGTAAGTAGATCAAATAATTTTATAATAGTAGACATAGTATAGTATTTAGAAAACTAATGGCCACTCTTCATTAATACACACAGTAGATTTATTTTAAATATATCCAAAATTTATAATAGAAATTACCTGTAATTGGGATCTTGAATTTTGAAAAATATATCGGTTTCCATAGATCACCAGAAAGAGCTTCGTTTTCTGAGCACCACGATATTATTTCGAACCCATAGACTTTCATCTTGATTTATAAATCAAGATTTAAAGCAAAATAATAACTTCACTGAATGTCGCTAATCTAACAAATTGACAAAATCACAATTATTTAAAATAGTACCAGTGCTCCAAAATTTATGAAATTTTGGAAATTTGGTTCCATTTGTAATGGAGAACCTAATTTTATGATACTGTAATGATCCGATCCCTCGATGACCCTCCACGCATCAGACTTTTATATTGAATATTTTCATATAACCGCAATTCCAAATCTTTCTCATTTATCTTCAAGATGGATGGTTAAGGAATACTTTGGTGCAGTAAGACCACTGAAAAAGCGAATGGGTTTCGTAGAACATTAGAAATGATTTCCAAAATGTCTCTTTAACACTGTGAACACAATAGCTCCGATAAAATTTGTAACGACAAATTGGCAATGTTTGGAAAATCATTACTCAGCAATTTATCCATAGATTTTATTTTTTATTACCCGCATAAATCTTTAAAGTCTATAACTGGTGTTCAAAAAAAATTAAAATGATTTCAGTGCCGTCCAGTGCTCTAGTGAGAGAATCGCGACTAAGTTGCGTCGTACGGCTGACCAGTAGACTGATGCAAAATTTGAAATTTCCGCTCCACAGTGCTCAAACGGTTCCAAATTGGGCCCTGATTAGCCTCCCAAAATTTGAACTCATTTAGTGAAAAACAGACTTGGCACAAACCATTTGAAGTTTATATGGGAATTACTATGGAGAAATCATAATTCCGGTTCATATCCATCTAAAAATTCACCAGTTCACTCTACTTTAGAAAATGGTAGCTGAGCTTATTGAATTTTTTTTTCAATTACAACTTTGTTCAAGACCACTTTTCGATCAAATGTGAGGAACAAAAATTATTAATGATTCAAGCCACTGATGTCTTATGATTATGCTCAATCAACTGTTCAGCATGCAACATTGGTGTTTATGGCGCTTAGAATAGATGACAAAAATCATGGCTACTATGTCACACTGCAGAATACAGTTTTGTCCACAATACAGTTTACTTAATCTTGCCATAAGATTATCAATCTCTTAAACAATTAATAACTATTTAATTTGACGTTTGGCTGAAAAACGATTTTCTGCAAAGGTGTAGCTGATAAAAATTCCCATAGCAATAGAATGTGTTAACAGTACAATATGTAAAAAGGCTAGAAGACAATGAACAAAAAGTTTTGTTTTCCCATAGTAATTTCCATATAAACTTCAAATGGTTTGTGCCAAGTCAATTTTTTATCAAATGAGTTTAAACTTTCGGAGGCTAATCAGGACCCGATTTGAAACCGTTTGAACACTGTGGAGTGAAAATTTCAAATTTTGCATCAGTCTACTGACCAGGGCCCCTTCTCCAATATGCATTGACGTTTTTTTTTGAAAAATAAACATGTTAATAAAAAATACTGAATTCGTTGAAAAAAAAATATGACTGAAAAAAAAATCTCATTTTTTATTGAACACCCGTTAATTTCAAATAGCGTCAATAGATTACGAATTCGTCAATAAATGGTTGATCTATGATTTTCAAATATTGCAAGTTTGCCGTTAAACATTTTACCAGAGGCATCCTGTTCGGAGAGTGATGCAAAATATCATGACACTCACGTGACACTCGTCTATGCATCAACCGACTATCGCTGACAGAACGTTTTGTCACGCAGTGAGAGGTAGAACCATGGCAAACAACAATCACCAATAATGGTCGCTGCTCACGAGCAAAACGGCACACTCATTGCTGATGATGAAAAGCACAACGAAAACAGTGAAGACTTCTGGAGCACGATCATGAGAAAAAGCGAAACGACAGAAGAAAATGAAAACAATGCCTACGCAATCCAAGTTCGTCTCGGCAGCGCCTGTGTGTGTTACAAACAAAGCAGGCATCATTGAACGAAAGCTGTTGGGCACACTCACCAACACACTCACATAAGCAAGCAAAGCAGCAACTGCTTAAAAACGAGCACAGATGAGTGTCGTGATTGTCGGGAATGACCAGATCGGTGATGGATCACAACAGAAGATGACATTCACCAGTTGCTTTTTACTTGTTTCGTCAACTTGATGGATGGTCATGGAGAGAGCTTCGAGGAGCACATTGATAGGAATGTACAAAGCGTTACCACCATCAGCTGTTTGACGATCGTGATTGTGATAGGTCGCAACTCTGATTCGGAGTGTTAATTTAAAGAGTACAACACCAAAGTAACAACATTTTACCATTAATGAAACATAATTTTCACTCTATTAAATTCCTTGAGTAAAAGTATGACCTGGCACACCCCAACTGGTAGGGGTACCCAATTATTTTCAAGTAATAAGCGTTTAAGGAGAAGCTTATCGACCCGAAAATAAAAAAAAATATTTTCTGTGCGTCTTTATTATTCTAAAAATATTGGGAAAAATTATCAAAAATCCAAGAAAATCAGTTTCTTCCTTAGATTTTTGTCAAAAATTACATGTAAACATATTTTTTCTATCTCATCATGAAAAAAATTGGACTGCCAGAAAAACCGAAAAGTCGATGTTTTGTGGTTTTTTGAGTCCAACTTTATGCCATAATGACTTATAAAAAATGTTGTTGCACGTGAATTTTCTTTGAAAAATTAGAAAAAAATGTGATTTTTTTTAGATTTTTGATACCTTTTTCAATATTTTTAGAAAAATTAAAATGTAATTATTTTTTTCGGAGCGGTGAACTTTCCCTGAAAGTCATTGTTTGCAAAAGCAATTAGGTTCTCTTGAAATGCTGGTGCCGCATTGATAGACTATGGAAGCAATTATTTACGGCTCCTTTATGCATTCCGATTGGTAAAATTATCAAAAGCTACTGAAAAGCGTTAAGGTGTTTCGTTGTTGAAAGTTTTTTGAGAGTCAATATTGTTACTTTCATTTCCAGAAAAAATTCGGTTAAATGCGTTTGCTCAGTCACATAAAGAAATCATTTAAATCCATTCATGAGCAATTCCATCCCAAAACACTTAAAAAAATTACGTCTTCACCCTTTCCGATTTGAATGTAACTTTGCATATTTGTTGGTTACATCCCAAGGTTGCCTTTTTAATTTAAATATGATTATATTTCTCAAGAGTAACTTTTTAAAATGGCGTATCTAAAAATGGATTTTGTTTTTCAAAAAATCAAAAAATCATAACTTGAAAACGACTTATCTAAGAAGAAGTTGTACATGGTAAGAAAAAAGTACCCAGTTAAAGATCACTTTGACTTACTTTTGAAGTGTTTGTCTAGTCCTTGAAAAGAATTTAACATAATATAAAGAACCGGAATATCAATCAGTCCCGAGATATCAATCAGAACGGTATCATATTACTCTCCATATCTTGATGTTCCATAATATATATTATCTCGATACGTGACCACTTTTTATCTATGTGTCAATGTTTATCTTGGCCCCTTTAAAGCGGTCTAGTAGGCTAAGCTTGTTCTATATCTAAATGGTGTCCTTCAATTTCTAAACATGGAGAGTTTACTGTATTGTACAAATCTAAACAATGGCAACAAACTGAATTATAACACACACAAAAATCCTACTTACATAAATGTGATAACATCTAACCACCCAATGATATTCCCGAAAAAAAAACCAGGCCGCCGAGGGAACCGGCCTCGCCTTCATCGTCTTCACCCAGGCCATCGTCCAGCTGCCGGGAGCACCCTTCTGGGCCGTCCTGTTCTTCACCATGCTGCTGTCGCTCGGACTGGGCTCGCAAATCGGCATCCTCGAGGGCATGCTGTGTACGATATTCGACATCGATATCTTTAAGCGGATTAGAAAACCTTACGTCACAGGTAAGTAATCGCACACACATTCGTTTTCGATCCCACTGGGAGGAGTTAGGATGATCCATTGACGTTTTCCGTTTATTCCATCGCCGAAAATAGGTGTCGTTTGCTTATTCTGCTTCACGGTGGGATTAGTCTTCACGACCGGAGCGGGTGAATATTGGCTCAAGATGTTCGATTCGTTCGCCGGAACGATTGGTCTGGTTGTGGTAGCATTGATGGAAACCATCGCCGTCATCTACATCTACGGACATAAGAAGTAAGAGATTGTTTTGGCATTTGGTGGTTTGAGAAGTTGAGATGAAATTTCCTATTTCGCACACAGATTCACGGAGGACATCTATCAAATGACCGGAATCCGACCCGGTATCTACTGGCAGATGACATGGAGGTATATTGGGCCCGTCATCATGTTCATCATCCTAGTGTCTTCGATTCTGAGTATGATACTCAAGAGTCCCACCTACTCAGCGTGGAATGGTGAATTGGTAAGGTCATTCCAAGCTCCTTAAATGTCCAGTGGACTACAATTCCACTCTTCTTTAAACAGGGCATTACCGAGACCAAATCCTACCCGGACTGGGTTTTGGGTATTGCTCTGGCGATGATTGTCGCATCCGTGCTTCCGATGCCGCTGGTGTTCCTGCTGCGACGATTCCAGATCCTCAAGGTGGACCTCGACATCCACCAGGGCTCGATCCGGCGTAACGAGACGACGGCCTCCACCAAGGAGATGATTGACGAGGACGACGTGAGTAGAGCCTACTGTTTTGACCATATCATAAACAACAGTCGCATTACAGTCCGACGCAGTGACACGGCAACAATCGCATTGCCTTTTCCTCCTTACGAGGAAACGGAAAGGACTTACAACATCACACATACACGCTGTTTTCTATATACTTTACGACTTCGTTTCGTTGATTTCGTGGAAAAAGTTGTTTTTCTTTTATTCGTTCTGTCTATTTTCCTTTCCTAGGTTGAGTGTGAGTTTTATTTTCCTTGCTCGATCCGCATTAGTCGGAGGATTATTTTGTCAAGTCTTCCTTCGTGATCAATCATGTATGGAGTCATTATTATCACTGTTTGATGAAGCAGGGACACTGTTGCGTTCTTGTTATTGGTGTTTTATTCAATTTGGGTGTTTTCGGGGAAAGCACTAGGTGAGAATTGCGTTGAAGTTTATTAGGTGAGTTTGCTTCTTACGACGGAAAAGTTTAGGATGCTTCTCGGAGCTTTGAAAAGCTATTGATCCATTAACTTCCTGATTGTTTGTCATAGGTTAATTTGAACTTATTAAATTGTAGCATTCAGAAGCCAGCAAGAACGTGACCAAAAAATAGTTGGTAGTCCCACTTTGCTGAGGCAGCTAAGGTGGAATCAGTGAAAAGCAAACGCTCGGTACAACTTTCGGAAGTGGTTTCGTTTGTTTTATTATTTGAATTTTGAAGCATTTGAAGCTAAATCTTGATATTTCCGCAACTCACTCAGCTGCAAAATCTTCCTCTAAGAGAACTAAAATAACGTATAGGAACTCTGAGAAACCGCTGTGTTTCTGAAAAATGTAGAACATGTCAACATTTAAATAAAAATCCCGTTACTTCCAGAACTACCTGCCTCTACGAGTCATTGATGTTTAGATGGTTTTGAGACTTTCAGGAACCTTCAGGAGTTGCAATTATTTTGAAAGTGCTTTTCTGGAGTGCTGAAAGTTTCCTGAGTGCCAGGAGTTTACCATCCTTTGAAAGCTAACGAAGCTTCTGGATTTGCCAGAGTTTTCATTCATTTTGAAGTTCTTGAAGCTCTCAAAGTACTAACATGCTTTTTCCGTCCAGCGCGCTCTTCTGAAGTTCCTGGAATTTCGATCGATTCTAGAATTCCGGAAGCACTCTGTCACTATCGCGAATACTTAGAGATTCAAATGCTCCCGAGGAACTAAAAATTCCAGTTACTGATGTTCTGATAGTTTCAAGAGCCTTTTTTAAATAGTTCGCTTATATGTAAGGCTCAATTGCGTTAGCTTTACGGAGCCGATAATTCATTGTTCATTGTTTGTAACAAGTGAATTCACTTATTTCTATGTTTAGTAGGAGTTAGGAGCCGAATGCTCGCGGCTTAGCCGAGGTTAGAGCGATACATTGTCAAAGGATAGGATCAGGGGAGAAGGCTCAAGAGTTGTTCATATTCCGAAACTCCAAAAGTTTTCGAAAATTTGATGAGTACCAGGAGTTTTATGTGAATTTAGAACTCTCTCGATATTCCCGGAGCTTCGAAAAAATTTGAAATTCTGATGACATCTGAAGTCATAGCAGAAATTTTGATCTGCTATAAAAAATAATCCCGAAGAAAAATCATTTCAGAATTTTATATTTTTTCCCCTAAATCAATGAACTTTTTGAAGTCCGAGATCTAAATTTTCTTTAAAGTTCTAAGATGTTTGTAATGAGCGATGATCTTAGATTTTTGATGATTTATCTTTGCACAGCATCTTGCAAAAATAACTAAGTTTAAGATCTCTAGGATTTCTCAATGTCTAAGTTCTAATTTCATTCGAATTTCCAGAATCTTTTATTTTAGTCTAGAATCATCCTTCATACACATAATCATAAAAATTTCTTTAGGTTCAAGATATATTTTCCGATATTCACTTTACAAAATTCGGCTTTTCGACAATTTAAGCAGTTCCACGCCAAATGACGAATTGGAAAAAAACTCGGCCTTCTACAATTTGCATGAAACATTGCATAATTGCATTTGCATGCTCATCAATCAATTTAAATCATTTGAATCAGTCAATTAATTTTCTCAGAAAAAACATTAATTATCTCTACATCTTTGTCTCAGACGTCATTTCGATCATAAGTGCTAGAATTTAATGAAAAAAAATTCAAAGACGCTATTTTTAAAATTTGAAACGATCCAAAATGGCCGAATTTTAGCAAAAGTGTGAATCATCGTGCTGCAACGTGTCATGCAAATCTGAGAACGGCGAGTTTCTCCGATTCGTCATTTGGCGTGGAATTGCTCTACTATGAAAACTTTCAAATCTCAGTAACTATCAGAGCTAGGGGACCTTTAAATCATTAACAACCCTCCGAACCCTTGGGAACTCTAAGAAACTCCCGCACTATGAGAGCATTCACAACCTCCACAACTACAATAATTGTATAATGAGAGAGAGAAGGATTAATAATTTCCATTTAATTCCACTTATTTGCTTATCCTTGACAGATGCGCGTATTTCGTCTACAATGTGCAGACTTCTTCAGTGTCTTGTACTAATACTCAAAATTCTGATATTTTGAGAGCTTTCAGAACTTCCACGACTATAAAAGTTGTATAAACTTTCAAACCTCTAGGAACATCATGAACTCTGGCAACGTTTAGAAAAGCAAGAAATTCCGATACTCAAACATGCAGCAACTCTTAGCTCTACTAAAACTTCTATAGCAACCCTTAGAATTCTTGAAATATTGTACTCTGCAACTATAATAACTATTAAGATGTTTGCCTAAAATGGCACGTGGCCTTTGCTCTAGACAACTGCGCACCGCACTTGCAGCGTCAAGTTCATTCGATCGACGTTTCTCTATACGCGATCGTTCATTTCAACAATCTAAGACCACGTGGAATTTCAAGAAAAGACGCGGTTGAGACAAATCAAAATTCCTCGCGGTGTTTCAAATTGACAGAATCCTACGATATAGAACTCCCAGAATAGCAATAGTTGTAAAGACATAACCCGGGAGCATCTGGAATCTTTGCCTACTGCAGAATTCTTGGAAACAACATGAAATTCTGATAGACTTAAAACTTTTAAAAATGGTACAACTTTATGACCAGTAAAACTTGAATGACAGCAATGCACTATCAGAAATCCTAGGATGCTTTGGAACTCACGAGAGCTTTAAAATATACCATTACTTTGAAAATATGTTGAGCTTTAGAACAACTGCAAGGACTTTCATAACTCTAGGAATATCTGGAACTATAGCAATCCTAAGAACTTCCGAAAACTTCAAGACCGATCAAAAGATCCAACATCTCTTCGATCTCCTGCAAACCAGAACTTATGAAAACTTCAAGGAATGTCGATACTGTTCGACTACAAGAATTGTGTAGCCTCGTGAACAATTTTTAACCGTAAGAACTCGCAGCGTTCCATGAACTTCTGGAACTTAGACAAACCATCAAAACTTCTGGGGACTCCACTGCCGCTCTTCGCATGTCCGTCCCATAGCGAAAATATGCAAGCCGAGAAAATCGCGTTTTAAGTTTGCTTCGTACCATTGCTTCTTATGTGATGGGACAACCAATGTGACTGTCTTTCCAAACTTTTTCAGAACAAAGTTGATGAGTTCATCCAGTTGACAAAAACGACTATGGGCCCGACATGCGAAGAACGGCAGTCCAGTAATCTGATAACTTTCAAAACTTCAACAGAATCTAGAACTTCCTAACGCCAAAAGCTCTGGGAACTCCACAAACTCCCAGAAATCTTCAAACATTCTTAGAATTCTTAAGTTGTCCGTAAATATGGAAACACTGGAAACTCTAGTAGTACCCAGGACTGTAGCATTTGGAGCTTGAAGAAATCTCTAATATCAAAAACTGAGGTTCCTCTTGAAGTTCCGTTAATGGCAAAGCTTCAGCAACTCCCGGAATTGAATAAAAAACCGCATCTCTTAAGCCCTAAGAGAATCCTTCGAAAAGATTTCAAATACTGTCATGATCTTACTGAATAAAATCTTAATAATATTTAAAAATTCGTTCTTCAATGGGTTACCTGAGAAACGATCTCACCAATTGTAATACGTTCTATTCTAAAGGCATAATAGGAAAATGGTTTTTCTAACATTATGGTGAAATGCTCCATAAACTTTGGAGGAAATGCTCCTTTATTGCATAGCTACTCAGATGTAGACGTATTGAAACGTCCCTGTTTTTTTCAGTCAGAGACGGACAAGTGTCTAGGATAAGCTACTGCTCCGAAAATTTTACAAGTTCTAAAATGGCCGGAAGAAATGTGAATCATTGCGCATAACAAACAGGCAAAGTTTCATGCAAATCGAAGAAGGTCGAGTTTTTTCGATTCGTCATTTGGCGTTGAACCAAGGGGTAAGTCACTCTGCCACTTTGTGTTAAACACAGCAAAAACACACTTCGACACACTTCAAACACCTCTTCCACCACATGAAAAGCTAATTTTTTCTTCAATTCTGGCACCACTGCCAATAATGTTTACGTTTGTTGATCAATGTTGTTTTTTTTTATTTCAAATGAGAGAGAAGCACGGCGGTCAGTTTGTTGGATTGCACCGGACATCGATGGGTAAACAGATTTTTGAAGAGACGCTTCTCAAGCAACATAATTCGGAGAAACGTCTAAGAATTGTCAATACACTTTTAATCCGAATTAAATAAAAAATCCAAGATGAAAGCAGGGGTGAAAGGCGCAATCCACACACTATTCGTGTTTCTTCAAAGACTCAATCCCTTCAAATAGAACAGCGAATTATTATCCGCCACCAGTGGTTGCTGCTGTTGCGGTGGTAATCAAAGTCGTTGATGTTTCTACCGGTGCCCAGGTATCAGAATTTAATTCCCTGGGTAGCTCTGTCCAGTGCTAATAAAAATCCTTTCTTCTACACTCAATTTAGCCGAAAATGAAGAAAACCTTAACAGATAGACCAACTACCTGCATGAATTTGAATTTTGATATAAACAAATTCCCTTGATCTAGGCAACCTCT